CCCCTAAGATTAGACCATTAAAGATTTATTCTCATGAATATTTTAATTTCGGTATGAATGACCTGCCTTAACCAAACCGAGGAGGAGATTAATCGAGATACGTATAAACTGGCTCGAATAACCCTGACCGTTGAAAAAAAAAATGTTTTAATAGCCATTAATTTTAAGTTTAGATTTTTTAGTTGTTAATCTATACAGCATTGAGTCTGGTCAAAAAATCTATACAACATTGATAATAGTGGTGGTTATGGATATTTAAAGACCTAGATGATTGCCAGGCACATGAAACTCTGATATAAAAAAGTATATATTACTAGTAATTTAATCTAATTGTTTAATCTAATGACGGAACGTAGGTGACAAGCAATTATATGATACAATGTTTTACTCGTACGTTTCTCCACCTCTTGCAAGAATTGTATGGTAATCTTTTCCTCATGTTGCAGAGAAAATAAAATGAGACAAAATCCATATGATTAATCTGAGTGCTTGCATGCATGCTTGAACTAAAAGAGCTGCGTGAGAAAAGTAAAATATTTTGAAGGAAGTGGGGCGGTGCCAGTACCTCGTAGCAAGCGCACACATACACAGAGAGAGAGAGAGAGAGAGAGGGAAGCAAAGTGAACCGAATTGGGTCAGTCTGCATTTGCATCAATATGCATGCAGATGCAGCAAATGATGAAGTCAGGCCTCAGACTCCATTAATCCCTCTCCCTTGTAACTTGTAAGCCCCCAGAAAATCAGATTTCTATGGGCCCTTTCCAATCATTCATTGGCATATCATAATGGTTGAATGGAAGGACTTGACTACGGTATCGGTTCTACAATAGTGGTAAAAATACCCACAAATATAATAAAAATCGGTATGGTAACGTAGACAACTCCTTGTTCAATAATTCAAACATAAAACTATGAAACTGATAGGATTCAGACTACAATCTTATAATTAGGTACCTAAAAGATAAATGCATCCTCATTTTCCACAATACAAGCATAAAGATATCATGATATTAATGGAATTGTTGCTTCATGCAATGCTATATGGAAAATCAATGCAATGACATAGCTTATTAAGTTTCCCATTTTTTTGAAACAAATGGCCATCAAGCTGCCTTTCAATTTCTCAACTTGGAATCAATTCTGGTACAAAACTGTTGGTGGTGCAGTTCCAAGAACACAGTCATATTCATATATATATGTGCAAAATATATAGTCCAAAGTAGGTTGTGCAGAGAGACAGGTCAACACTGGGAAACAAACAAGACATGCTGTTATACCAAGTAAGAAGACATGAGATTCCAACTAATCTTCATATGGGAAGGCATTGACGCCACAAATCGAAGGACATCTGGCTTTGAGCTATGCTTGGTGTTTGGGCGGTGGATTTCTGATTTTTGATTATCAAGCTCAAGAGATTTGGCAATGTTGGGAAGTACAAGCTCCCTGCAATGCAGATGGAGCAAGGGAACCTTAGATAAGACACTTCCTTTCTGAACATCCAATCCTTTTGGCCTCCTCAACTTATATGGTTCCCGAGTTGTTGGCTCAAAATCAACTCTAGGCATTTGCTTCCATCTACGATGCACAAACCAACCATACTTATAGTCACCCACTATTGGTGTACCAAGAGCTTCAGCACAATGGACTCGAAGCTGGAGATGAGGAAAAAAAAAAGTTGTATTGGAAACAACCGCAAATCTAGAAATCACTTGTTGCTGCTGCTTTAGGATGCAAAAGACAAGTCACTGAGCATCTATGGATGAACCAATCATTTTGCCTCCAGATTCTATCCAAATAATAGTATTAATAATGATCCATCAATGTAACAGTAAAAAAGCTCTATATTGGCCTTTAAAACGATAATGATAATGACATATTGATTCCATTGTTTATACTTGTCTGATACACCTCCCATTCCACATTTCAACTATCTAGATAAATAATCTAAATATTGTCCATAAGGGGCATCCAATTGGCCATTGGTTCATCCCAGAGACATGAGAAGTGTGGTCAAAGCCAAATTTGTGGCAACTAAATTGACCACACACTGTAAGACACTCCAGAAAGCAATTCAGCTCAAAGAAGACATTGTAGACACCATAGTAGTTAAATCGCATATCGAAAGAAGGATCCTTTTTTAAAAATAGTGTATCATATCATATCGTATCGTGTATCGTAAGATACGACGCAATTTTAAATAATTATTAATAAAATATATATAGCTTTGCAAAAAATTCATAGACTCATAAAAACATTGCATTTTATTAATATTCTACCAACTATTCAAGTTATCAGTTCACTAATATTAAAATACAAAGTTCCCAACATAGTTCACTAATTTAAACTTCCAACACCCAAGAGATTTCTAATCCAAACTTCTAACATCCATTTTGAATTCAATCTTCAATTTCAATTGGAAATGCATCATCATCATCATCATCAATAATGTTTGTAATGGTGTACTTACAGAATTATTTTTTGATTTTTGGTTTTGTTGCAGGCACAAGAAGCAGTTGCAGCGAGGCAAACCCAGAAGGAATGAAAAGAGAGAGAAGAAGCAGTCGCAGACCAGTCGAAGTAGCAATCGCATACCAGTCGAAGAAGCAATCGTAGACCAGAGGAAGTAGCAGTCGCAGACCCAGAAGGAAGAATAAGGCAGCTGCAGATCTAGAGGAAGAAGTAGCAGTTGCAGAGGGCAGTCGATGGTCTTCTCCCTTCTGCAGCTTCGCTGGGTTCGTCGATGAAGGAAAGAGAGAAGAGGGACTAGGCTTGTCGAAGAAGAACAGAGAGAAGGGAAGACATTTATTTTTTTGGTAAACCCTAGCCACTGAAACAACATCGTTTCAGTGGCCATATGGATAAAAAACTAAGACTATGGTTGAAAACGATGTTGTTCCAGTAAAAAAAAATAAAAAATCAGAGAGTTTACGTATCGACCGTATCGTATCATAAGAAGCGTATCATGTATTGGACGATACTATACAAACAATTAAGAACTCTGATTCATATCGTTTTCAATGTGTATCGTGACATATCGTACGATACTAATAATTATGGATGACACACATATGACATGTCACACACACGCGCAAGTGCATAGGAAAGAAGTAACTATCTCGTCGTGGTACCTGATGCTTCCGGCTTGTGAGTGGATGCAATTCAATCCAGGAGCATCCGTTTATCATAGGACCAAGCACCCTATATTTTGTTACAGCCTCTTGGCAAGGTTCAAAACCTGATTGATGAGCCAAAATCACCCTCTCAGTTTTTCCATCATTAAGAAGTACCTGCAGTCAATGACTTGCTTTGTCAACTCTAATTAGAATACTGGAAGAATCATTTCTTTCCAGACCCAGACTCACACACACAAACAAAGAGAGGGAGGGAGAAAGAACCTTTGAAAGAGGAGCAGAAATTACACCTTCCATTTCCTTGGGAGAACCAATGACCAATGCCCAATACCTCTGATATGTTGCTTTGCATGCATCATTCCAAGCCTAGAAGTCCAACATCATAGTTTTCAGTCATTAATGGCCAGGGCGGAAAAATAAAAAAGTAACAGTATCCAACATTGATCTAACTTCAAAGCAACATTTTCTGGCTCTCCTTTTGTGGGCGGGACTTGGGAGACTGTTGGGTGGGGAAAGATTTTACAGATCAACTGCTGAGAGGACACAAATAAATGTAGGTTAAGTACCTTATACAAGGATGTCGCTTTATTTATGTCACTGAACAGCCAATGCAGACGAGATATGCTTTCTTTTGTTCTTCCCATTAAAAGAAGGCCACTGCTCTCTCTGTCTAGACGGTGCACCTAGTAAAGTATTGCATGAGAAGCAGCAAACACAAATGCTCAGAGTCACGTATCAAACATCAAGTAGAGCAACAGATACAGTCGTGCAAGCATTATAAGCATAAGCACGTAACCACACTGCAATTTAAACAAGAAAACAAAGGCACAAATGATGCACCTACCTTCCCCTTTTCCAGACAACATAACATACATTTAAATGCATTGACAAGTAATCATAAAACCAGAGAAAATAAGAATTTTTTCAAAAATATTGAAAGAAAACTAAGGATGAGCTCTAAATGTATAATAGTAAGATTTATGAGCATCACCATTGACCGCGGGCAAATTAGCAGTCCCCATTCGTTACCCCACAATCCCTAATATAGGTGGTTATGATTAAAAGGCAGTTCCTCTTCTGTTCCCATTCTCGATCAATTTACTTACACAATTATGCAGTGACACCTCTTTGTGCCATAATATCAGCATAAGCTAATATGTCCTCACAGTAATTGGTTGGACAACATGCAGCTACAATTACCGGGGAGGGGGAGAGATACGAGAAAAGAGACCGACCTACTTGGTGTTTCTAACCGCATAGCACATTCCATGTAACCAACAAAAAGGAGCGTCACTCTCATTCAACCACATTGCAAGGTCGACATCCTACGGCTAATATACCTAGTCAATTCATGTCTTAGCTGCATTGACTAGTATCTCTCTAAACTTAGTTCCCAATACCAACTTCCTCCTGTAGACTCTACATGTTTGTTTGAATTATTCCTGTAGATCACCTTATATTGTCCACCAGAAATTAGTCTTTGTTCATTCAATTACCTTCCCAATTCAAAGGGATCTCCAAAACAGGAAGCTTACCATCTTAGGACCCTCATCATAATCATAAGACAATGCTGCAGCAGCCAAGGCATCCATGCTGTTATGAACGGGTAGGCTCCCCTGACATAATTGTAATGCATATAAATCATGAGCAACATACGGAAAATTTATAAAACTAACTGGAAAGTAATTGAATATTGCAAAGAATGAAACAAGACACTAACCTTTACTGGCAATTTGGGGGGCTTATTCAGCACCAGTATAGCAGAGTCCTGAAACATCAAGGACACATGATCAATAACAAAACAAAATTGCAGGATAAACACAAGGTGAAGCAAAATTAAAGCATATAGCATCCAACAGGCTACAATGGAATGCTGAAAGGTAGCTATAGCTTTTTGTAACTTGTATCTAGCCAGTTAAGGCATAAGTCAGGGAAAAGATGACAAAATACAAAACACTATGTCCCAATTTGCACTGTATACAACTTCTGAGAGATGAGGTTTAGCAAGTGCCGAGCCTAATCATATGCACCACCCAAGAAATCAAAAAGAATGCAAGTATTTGAAATGAAAACATGCCTTGTACTTGACAAGCCTTTGCAAGTACTCTATCTCATCAGCATTCGGATATAAAGTCCCACTTGGTATCGTGTCAAATCTCTTAGAAATTCTAGATTCAGCAACAGATACAGGTACATACACTCTTGCCCCCACCTTCATGACCTCGTTATGCTTAATCTGTACATCAGCTGCCCAGGTGTAGAATGATAAAATGCACAAAGAATTGTTTGCAGTTGACACAAAGATAAAGAATAAAAAAACATGCATGCACACAAAAGCAAAAGATAGAGAGAGAGAGAGACCAGGAATTGGTTTTCAAATGTCATGCTTTTGACATGAAAAAAGGCACGCTAAATACAAAAGCCTCAGTACCTTTCTCTTGCGTAGTTTTGTTTGTCCTCCATTCTCTATGGATAAATCATTTAAATTAGGAGAGTCCATCTGCACCTGAAAGAAGATAAAACAAATGGTTTTACGCTCTCTTAGAATAGAAATTACCTAATGCTTGATGAAATCATTTTGGAGGACTTTGAAAACGGAATGACATCTTATTTGCTTTAAATGTACATATAAGACTTTGTATGTAGAGAGCAAAAGGAAAAGAGAAAAGGGTAACAATATGGAGTCGAAGATTTTCTCTCAAAATGTCAAAGCTGTATTCTGCAATCTAAAAGCTGAAGGTATTATAGTCTGCTTTTTAAATAACTAGAAATCAACTCAACTGCATTTTGAAAAGAAGTTTGAAGGTTAAAAAAAAGATTCTTTCTTTAAACGAAAAAGATGATTAGTAATAGACTCATGCAAACACCACCTGATGAGCCCAACGAAGACAATCTCGCACAATTTTTGTTATATACAATTTTCCTGAAATTCTTTACACAGCCGAGGAGTGCAAGAGAACTCGCAATAGTTGAAGTTTGGTTTAAGCCACAACCTCCCTCAATATAAAAGGTGATGAAAATTAACCAAAAAATTAGGCCACTCAATTTGTTGACACGAGATACACCAATCAGCTGAATCAATTACGCATCAATTGTATAAAAGTTATCTAAAAGAGAAGAGTATATAGTTACTTATGTTTGTTGTAAACAAAATATATCAGTCTAAGAAAAATATAAATTCCCACAGTAGAAAATAAAACAAATAAGGAATTTATAGGGAAAAAAGTGTATACTCACAAGGCCTTTGTTGAAATGCGATTGAATCACAGAGCCGGGTATTTCATCAAAGTAATACTTTATCCAGGTAATGGCAGTGACATGGGGGTTCTGCCCATCGGTAGTAACCGAGTTCTTTCCAGCCAGAGGATGAGCAGGGAATGGGGGCAAGGATAGGAGCTGTCGAGGCTTGGGGCCCTCTTTTGGACGTCCCAAATGGGCTATGTTGTTAGAAACTCGTATGACTTGCTCAGCACAAGCAGGTGATGGTGGAGAAAGTCTTGAAAAGTGTCTGACCACAAAAGGCATGCGTTGATGGACGATGTTCCCCACATTGTGCCACATGCTATACCTAATAGAGAGAAATAGAGTTTCAAAGAGATCATACACAAGAAACTGTTTCACGGGCAGTTTCCAAAATGTAGACTGATTCACAGTAATGTATGCAGGGAATAAATCCTACAAATAAGTCCATTATACATAGCCAACAACGAACATTGAGAAATGTGAATCTGGATTTGAGGATGGATAACTTACAAGCTAATTTGCAGATTTGAAATCAATTGCTTGGCTAGCAAGAGTATGGTGGTAAGAATTGAAAAGCCCACCTCATAAAAAAATAATTTCTGAGAAATACATATCTGCAGTTGTGTTTTGGTGTAAAACTATAGCAAGGTGTTCGTTATGATAAGATAGATAGCATAAAAAGAGCTAAGCAACTTAGTAACTTCAAGATCATATGCATGTTGGATTACATTGTTACTATCAAGAGAAACCAGGAACTTAACAAAGAACAAATACCAGATAATTGAGCTATCATTCACAAGGTGGAAAGAATATGATCAATTATATGAAAAATGGCATGGAGCCTCTGGTCGTGCTTCTGATTGATGATATTGACAAATGGAAGTGAACTTCAAATTGTTCCTGGATATATAACAAGAAAAATCTGAACCACCCTAAACAGCATTTTACATTCGGTTAAACTAGGAGCAGAGACTTGAGGAAGCTCAATAATTGCAGAGCATAGAACACGGCCTCCTTGGTAGATTCAGAAATCTCATTACAACTTCAACTACACATATGCTATCCCTGCAGCTATAATTTTGCTCAATATAGTACTATTATTAATCATATCAAGCTTCAATGTACATTGTACTACAAATATGTTTGCTCATACTCAAAAAGGGTTTGCAGTCAGATTAGAACTCATGTTTTGAACAAAAACTAATAACAAATCACAAAACCAAAAAACCCTGTGGGTGGGTTTTAATGGTGTAAAGGTGGAGGCTCAGTGACGGGTCTCCAATAACGGTGGATGGTGGTGCAGAGATCGCCGGTGGTGGTGGGTTATCGTTATGGTCTTGTAACCTTTACCCTGCATCAGGGGAAGGAAAAAAAAGAGGAGAAGATAGAGAAGCGGAGGAACCTTACCTGGTACAAGGAGGAGCTGCAATTGCCGCTGCCTTCGTCGGTCATGGAGGGAGGGATACGGCGGAGGAATGACAGTGGAGAGAGAGAGATGGTGTAGCCGGAGCCAAAAAAGGGGAAAAAATACTCCAATTTTTTTAAAGGTTTATAGTATTTTTGTTATGTATTTTTTCGATTTTATCTTTTAAGTATCAATTTTATTAATGTGATCTCTAAAGTATTTAATTTATGTTATTTTAGTTCTCAATCAGACAATTCATTAAAATTTTTTACACAAGTGATCACGTGTCACTTTTTTAAATGATATCATATGTCCAACACGTAATTATTCCATCAAAAATTTAATTGTTCATCTATTTATGGATTATTTTGACACAAATTAAATATTTTAGAGGTCAAATTAATAAAATTAATACTTTAAAAGTCAAACTGACAAAAAATATTAGGAACCAAAAGTGCTATTAATTAATTTTTTTAAAAAAAATAATTACCTATTTGGCTTCTAATTATATTACTCATGTCAATTCAGTCCTAAATCATATTTTGTCTCGATTTAACCTTTGACGTATTTAATCTAACTTACTGTAGCACTTTCGTCTAAATTCATTGTTAATTTTGACAAAAATTTTCACATACATGTCACGCAACCTTTGAACTATACCATAATTTCTAATTCACATGATATGAGGATTTTCGTCAAAGTTAATAGCAAATTTAGACAGAATGGTCGTATTGAGTCAGATTACATAGTTCAAGAATTAAATTGACACAAACATAATTTAATAACTTAATTGACATAAATTGTATAAAATAAGTAATTAACTCTAAAATAAAATTGATGCTAAAATAAAATTTGTGCCAAAAAATCTAATGTTACGTTTGGTACAATAGAAGAATGAAATAATGAAAAGGTAGAAGGGTGAAAAATTAGAAGGATTGATAAAACATTACGTACCAAACCAAAAATTAGAAGGATTCAATTTTATCCTCTAGCATTTTAATTGTGTCATCCATATCCTTTGCTTCCCAGGTGTTTAACTTTGTTCCGATTTTCTCTCTCTTCTCTCTTTCTCTCCCTATTTCCTCCATCTCATTCACATAGCTGTTACACTCTCTCCCTCTCTTCTACTTTCTCTCTCTCTCTCGCCTGCAAATTAACAGCCGCTTCTCTTCATCTTCCGTCTTCGTGCCTCTATCTCTTTCTCCCTATTTCCTTTCTCAAATTCTCTGCCTTGAGATTTACTTCTCGGCCGTTACACCCTTTTCCCTCTCTCCTACTTTCTCGCCCTTTTTCTCTTGCAAATTCATAGCCCCACCTCTTCAGCTTCCCCATCCGTCTCTCTATCTCTTTCTACCCTGCGTTTTCACATATCAGAGAATAGCACACCACCTCCTTCACCGATCAGAGAAGAGCACACCACCCCCTTCGCTGTCCCCCTCCCAGTCTCTCTCTCAGACCGTCATGGACCCCTTTTCACTGTCCCCCTCTCAATATCTCTCTCCCCAAATTTATTTAATTACATGTATTCAATTACAAAAGTCAGTTACCCATTATAGATTTCAATTAGGCATCCATTTTCTTTGGTTGTGGCTATACACATCCCAACAATTAATTTGTTTAATTAAAAAGACTGCTGACCTTCTTCAAATTCCTACTTACAATCGCCCTTTCGTGTCCGAAAAATTCTTTAAAATCCTATTTGCCAGCGCTTGTGTCTTGGCATTATACTTTACACAGCAAAACTGCTTCTTCTTCAAGTTTTTCACCGCTAGAGGAGCTCTACCCTCTTCCTCTTACCAGGTAACTACTGTGATAAAATTATTAGTTCTGAATTTTTTGTTTGAATTATTACTGAATTAGATATGATTTATGTTGGTGTTTTCTTTTTTGTGAATTCATTTTTGATTCAGTTTATTATTCTATTTAGTTGTTGGTGGAGAATATTAGTTTATGTCTTTTCATGGTGTTTGGTTTCTTTTTTGTTCCTGCTTAAAGAATATGTGACTTTGGAGTGTTGTTGGTAATTCTTTTCTTCTGTAGATTTTTTTGTCTACCTAATATGCTGATTATTCTAATTAAAATACTATACACAATATCAACCAAAGGACATCTCTCTCTCTCTCTCTCTCGTGTGTTGTGTGTGTATGTTTCTTTCTTGTTTAAGACTAATGGATGTGATGTTATCCAAAGTCCACCCAGTGCACAACACTTTCTTCTTGTATTTCCTTTGATGTGCCTCCTGTCAATCCATAATATCAACAATGAAATCACATTGCAGATCCTATTTGCCAGCACCCTTCGCCTCTCTCTGACAGACGCTTGCTGCCTGTTGTGTCTTGGCATTATACTTTACACAACAAACCTGCTTCTTCTTCACCGCTAGAGGAGCTCCACTCTTCCACTCTTACCAGATAACTACTTTGTTAAAATTTGGGTTAATTACAAGTTGCACCCCGAAAGATAGTTCGAATTTTAATTTACACCCCCAAAGATAAAAAATCTCAATTTGTACCCTCAAAGATAAAAATTTGTATCAATATGCACCCCCAAAGATAGAAATTTATATCAATGTGCATCTAAAACTAAATTGATAAATTATACCTAGATCCCCTCATATTTGTCACTTAATCATTTGGACCCCTTCACGTTTAGAATATTACTCTCACATCTCATGTTGTTTGTGCATGTATAACACGTAACCTTTTTCGTTGATGTATGGTAATATAATCGTTAAAAATATGATTTTATCATAATAAAAAATTATAATTTCATATTATCCTTTATTTTGTGGGTCTGATATACTCTAAAGTTCAAAATCAAATTTATCATTTGAATGTCTAATAGAATGTAGATATTTATATAATATTTTTTATATCCAATACAATATATCACTCAATGTATAACCTTTTATTCTATTAGACATTCAAATAGTAAGCTTGATTTTGAATTTTAGAGTATATTGAACCCATAAAATAAAGAGTAATATGAAATTATAATTTTTTATTAGGATAAAATCATATTTTTTTAACTATTATATTAACAGATATCAATGAAAAGGGGTTACGTGTTACACGTGCATAAACGTTATGAGATGTAGGAGTAATATTCTAAATGTGAAGAGGTCCAAATGATTAAGTGACAAGCAAAAGAGATTTAGGTATAATTTATTAATTTAGTTTTAGGTGCACATTGATAGAAATTTATATCTTTGACGGTGCAAATTGAGATTTTTTATCTTTGGGGGTGCACATTGATACAAATTTCTATCTTTGAGGGTGCAAATTGAGATTTTTTATCTTTGGAAGTGCACATTGATACAAATTTCTATCTTTGAGGGTACAAATTGAGATTTTTGATCTTTGAAGGTACAAATTGAGATTCGAATGATCTTTTAGGGTGCAATTTATAATTCATCCTTAAAATTATTAGTTCTGAATTTTTGGTTTGTTTTTTGTTCGAATTATTATTGAATTAGATATGATTCATACTGGTGTTTTCTTCTTTGTGAATTCGTTTTTGATTCAGTTTATTATTCTATTTAGTTGCTGGTGGAGAACATTAGTTTATCTTGCGATGCAGTCACTTTGTGTCGAACTAATTAACCATGTATCGTTAACACCAAAGATGAAACAACAAATACATATATGACAATTCCATCACAGATTCTGCTGCAAGACCTTATTTCTTCTCATCTTCTAAGTTGTTACTATTATACCCTTATTATTTTACTTTTGGTATTGTCAATATAATTTTAGAGAATTTATTTTTGTATTTGTACTACTTAGTGTAGCAGAAGTGTCATATTTCTATATAATAGGTGTTGTTCAATAAGTCAGGTGTTCTCTTTTGGTTCTTCATAATTGGAGTGGAAGAATTCAAAATCTTCTTTTCTTTTAGTTGTGCATGCACTTCAGCATTGTTGCAAAGAGTGTGGACACTGAAGAAGTTGAGGGAATTGATGACGCTTTCGTTTTACAAGCTGCCCAAGATTGTGCCTTCTTGCTTTCTCTAAGGTTTTATTGAGGCAAGTTTTTTAATTTGCTATGCATAAGTTGATTTATTGTGAATTAAGATACATTGAGGGTGAATTAAGATTTGTGTGTTTTCTTTTGCCCTTCTTGGCTTGGTATTTTGCTATTTTATTGTATTTTTATCCTTTTTCCTTATGTCATTGATTATGGGTTATTCATTATTTGAATGGTACTTATCCTATGTTGTTCACTTGTGTTGCTACAAATATTGCCAAGACCGTATATACTTAAGGACTTTATAGGTACTATATTCACCGCTTAAAATGTGAAATTAGTAGATGTTGATTTTGTGAGATTGTTTGGTTGTTGTTGCAGGCCAGAGAGGAAATGTCAAGGGAGAGACTGCATTACTTAGAAGCCATGGTAATGTTATGACCATATAAGTTTATTTCAATTATTCCATGAAATAGGGATTTGTATTATATGTATTATAAGAGATATTATATGTTATTCTTTGGTTTCAATAAAACTTGGTGTCCAAAGTAGATGAATGGACTTTTGGATTCCCACTTTATGACAAACTATATGGTCAGTATGTGGCAACTTAGCTGCATTTGTTTGTTCAATTCAGTACATTAAATGCTACATTTTCACTGCATTTTGCATTTGTTTTTAGGTAGTGTCGGTCTAACTTGACAGGAACTAGAATTAAAATAGCCAAGTTCTTACAGGTTTATGAGGCTCTTGAGCACAAGCTGGTCGTTGCAGAAGCCAATCAAAGGTTAAGGCTTCCACTTATTTCTAAAGACGGTGAGATTCAAGAGGAAGAAATTGAGAAATGTAGTATAATGTCAAGAAGCTCCCTTGATAGTACGAGTACCAGCGTCACTATAAGCTTAAGCTCAAACTCAAACTCAAACACAATGAACTACACAAATTTTTTCGGCAATTGGGATTGATGGTGCAACAAATAATGCTCTTTCTGGCTGTGCTATTGATGAAGCAGATCCTGGAGTTGGTGGTGTTCCTAATCGATTCTTTGGAATAACAGTTGTTTACTTGCGAAAAACTCAACTCCAGCCTGCACCACTATCTACAGTATGGTAATGCATCAAGTGATGATGCAAAATGTGTTTTAAGAAATTTATTGGCTATTTTTGAGAGACTTCAACTCTATCTATCCGCGCTACTTTTAAACAATGAATAAGAGGTCTATTTTGTTCTTCTCATTGTCTCATGAAATTAAATGCTATTCTATTTATGTGTATCTATATCTGTATATTTATACATATGTATGCATGTTTTGTAGTGAATCCTTTTATGTTGTTAAAGGAACAATTCATTTCTTTGTGATTGTAGGACATGGCAGAATACCAGATGTCACTTTTCCATGCAATAGAGAGTCGTTTAAAAGCTAAATGCGATAAGTTAGCTGATGCCTGCATATTAGATGAGTTTGGTCAGTCCTATATCTTACATACCCACCCATCCCCCCCCCCCCCCAAAAAAAAAAAAAAACCCGTGTGTGCACACAGGCATTAGGCACTAACTTCTTCAGGGGGGACATAAAATAACATCCCTTAAATTTGCCCCTTGTGAAGAATCTGCTTGATTGGGAATTTCAACTGATGTTTTGGGCGCTGGGAGTACATTGTTGACCATGTGTCTAACTGGAGATTGTATTTGTAACTGATAAACTATGTGCATAATATTACTCCTTCTATGCTGCAGACGTCTCCTCAACTGGTAATCCAAATACAAGTGCTCGACCTCCAGAAAGGTTTGTATTATTTTTGGTATTGTCATTATTTAATATATATTCACACGTATATAGACAGATTTACGTGTGCGTGTGCGTGTGCGTGTAGAGTCCACAAGGAGTTTCAGATTTCTGATGATTAACCTTTAGCTTGCACTCTTCCACTGGTCATGTTAACAAAGTAAAGTTAATTATTGAGGATATTAAGAGGGAAGAAACAGCTCTGCAAGAGGATCTATATTCTGTGGATAGAAAATTCGTGGAGTATTACAATGTATGTGTCAGTAGTTATAAGCTGCACTTCAACCTACTATCATTGGACCTCTCTCAGTCGATATCTTCTTGTTTATCTTTTGCATTGCATCGAGTAATTTCCTTATGATGATGAGACCTCTTTTATTATTTTTTTGTATGTGACCTGAAAGTTTTACAAGCTAATTGACGTACCAATGAGTAACTGCATCAATAGTGGCATAAAGAAGAATTTTATCCTTGTCCTAGTTCAACTCTTTCTTCCTCAACCATCACCTTCTTGCACCTACAACTTTGGAAATGGTGTGAGTTTTGGGGATGGATTTGTCGAGGTAAGATGAATCATTAGACTTGTAAATGGATATATCAGCCAATAATATTAGAAATGCATAATCTAAAGTTGAACTTTATTTTGAGAATGTTGTTCTTTTGGAACCGACAGTGCAAGTTGAGAAATTCTTCAGTATTATTATTATGTGGTGGGCTGTTGTGGCATCGATTTGGGTGGCATACAAGAATTCAACAATGCTATGGTGGTGTGATTTGTGTTGTTTTGGTGGCGACAATTCAGGTGGCGTTGATTTGGGCTACTGTGGCCGATGTCGATTTCAGGTGGGTGTGACAATGGATTCCGGCAAAGATGAAGAGATGAGGAGAACCATTAGGGCTCAAGGGGAAATCGAGCAAAAATCAATTGCTTGTTAGTGATGTGGCCGGCATCAATATCCAGTGGTTCTCTCCATTGTGCAGCTTCCGTGTACGACCCAGAAAGAAAATTTGGTAGTAGAGTCAGTCTAGAGCTTATGTAGAGAAGAAGAGAAGCTGTAAAGATACCGGAAAAAAAAAGAAAACAATCATTCTTGTAGATACCTATCAGGATGCAGATAAAAAATTTTACAGTTGAACCTTCTTTTTTTTTTTTTTTTAAATTCAGTCATTTGCAGTTTTAATTCAATAATATAACAAAACATATATTATATCATTCACTCTATGACACTATCTGTTAAAAAAAAAACTACTATACAGATTTAGGTCTATTAGCAAATAGAAAACTAGCAGAAACTCTTCTTTGTGCTCCTCAGGTATCTCTCCAATATTGAGATGATCAGCTATTCATCACAGAAAGAATTTCTACTTGGCATTGTTTTTTGATGAGCATTATTACCCACTGGGGACCTCATTTGGGATGCTGAAAGTGAAGGATACTTCATTCTTTGCTCAATGTTTATCTGTAGTTCTCTTGTTATGGAGTATTTACTTGATTTTGAACTCATCTGTATTTCTATACATGATAAGCAGCCTTGATAACAGTTCTGCAATCTTTTTGCTTTTTATTTTGTACCAGTTATTTTCATATATTTATGTAGTCCTATTCAACTACTGTTCATTTTTCTATCACTTGGCGTCATTCACACATACTTCACTTTATGTTCCTTATAGTTATATTAGTATTCAATCGTCAATGTTTGAACTTCTAAAAAATTACTTAAATTTATATGACAGCTTTGGAAGTCCTACATAAGAAGGTTATTGATATTAGTTGGACCAAGTCTTGGATTTACTGTTGAAATTGATTTCGCGTTCAATTTTCCAAAAGATGTAAGAATTTCATTCAACGTGATGTTACCAACCATTCTTCTATAGTCAACGAATATCTAGGCAAGATTCAAATAATCAGATAACAGGTTCTCTATTTTTTCATTTACAATTTTCACTTTTTAAGGTAACAGGTTTATTATACATGTTATCAACAACCCACTGGTAGACCTTGCGACTTATTGAAAGCAAGACGAGATAAAATTTAATTAAAGGTTACCATGAAGAAGTTAATGTTTGATGTTGTGGTATTTTGATGTAGAATTTTAGTGTTTATTTTTTGGATTAATATCATTGATTTGCATAATTGACTTAAAATTCTTTTGATACAGGTTAGAACTTAATGGAGTCAAGCTTTTTTTTCAATATCTAATTGCAAAATTATAGAGGTGCTATATGAAAATTCCTCAAATGACAAGATTCTTGCAAGTACAAAAGCTCAAGTAGCTCCTCTGTGTTACTAGGGACAATGGCATTCCCAGAAGGGTTGCTGAAATTGTTTAGGTTGGTAACAAATCCCACCCTTTTATGGATAGGACTTATAGTCAACTCATTGATTTTGGTTCTATTTTTGTATATTGATTTTTCTAGCAAATTTCACTCAAAATCCTCTTCGAATCCTAACTATCTCTTACTTTCACTCTATTTCAATTACTTTTACTCTATTTCAATATCTTTCTCCTAAAGTGTCTCTTTTTTCAATATTTATTGTACTACCAAACCCAATGAGGTTCCTTTACATTTGTCTGGTAGAATAATTTTTATTAAGGAGGTTTTTGTTTTTTGTTCCTACCTATGGATATAATAATACGGTTATACATTAAATGAATTATTACTTTGCTATTTTATTTATCTTTTACTTTTATTTATCATCGGTCATGTCAATGAAAAGTAGCAAAGAGAAAACTACCATCAACTCAAGTACTCCAGTTGGGAGGACTTTGTTTGTAGTTTAACTACTAAATTTTTTCCTTCAGCCGAGAGTTGCTTATGTTTAACAGTGTCATTTTTGTGTTTGCGTTAAAACATCAATAAAACTCAGAGTTTTAATTTCATCTATTTTCTTTGTTTTGTCTTGCCATTAAACAAAAATTGCCACTGGATAGTGTCAAAGAACTTTTCATGAACAAACTACATGAAAAAAAAGGTAATCATTTTCAATGGAGGATAATTTCAATGGATTCCATAACAAAATCATAATGTTTTATTATACATCAAAAACCTTCAACATACAAATTTTTGGTGCTGCCATCCATAAGTAATCATTGTAAATAATAATTTCGATCAATTATAGTTCACGTGTAACGCACGTGTGCATCTATTAGTTCATGTATAAATACAATGATAAAATATACATTTATATTTTTTTTTAAAAATTAAAAAATATATTTTTTCCATCTTACCAAACACAAAAAAAAAAAATTATATTTTAATTTTTCATCTATCATATTAAACACAAAAAAAAAATAATATATCATTTTTATTTATTTATTTATTTTTTTAAATAAATATATTATTCATATTTTTCATTCGTTTTACTTTTCATCATTCTTGTGAAACGGAGTATAAAGTGGTCAAACTATCAAAGGCCATTTATTTGGACAAAAGACCCACGTGCAATTTTCATAGATTTTGGTCTGTTATCCTTATCTCAATCATGATTTTTCTACGCCATAGAGAAATGTCCTTTCCTTTTGGGTCAGTTGCGAGTGAGGAGGGATGTAAAGCCCGACACCGTGGTTCATAGTCACATGAGCTAGGGCTCCACCCTATCTCCGTCGAGTCTACTGTCGGCGTTGTTTGGATGACCTAAACATAAGGAGAGTAATGCTACAAAAAACACAATGATTGAATGCTAGAGGACAATGACAAAAAAAAAAAATTGCTAGGGGACAAATTGGTGTAATAGTTAAGAAGATAAATTATAACATATTAAAATAATACATAAAAAATTTAAGAATTAATTGTATTAAAGATCCCAAAAATATGAAATTTGTCTTATCTTAGTCTCTAATATTTTAATTACATCATTTTGGTCCTTGAAATATTAAATATATGTTTATATAGTCCTTCAACAAGACGTCGTTCATATTTTTAACGATTTTTTATTATAAACTTGTCAAGTAATATTTAAATATAGATAAAAAGATAATTTGGATAACTCTTGATTAAATTTTTATGCAAATTTTGGTCAAATAACTATCAAAATTATACAGTTTTGATCATGAAATATCTAAATTTTGGTTAAAAACTTCTCATATTACACATTTTGGTCAACTATGACCCAAATTTTGGTCAAAAGCTACCCAAATTATTTATTGTTCATATTTAGGTATTACGTGACAAGATTATGATAAAAAATTTTTAGCAATTTAGATGTTGTCTGGTTGAAAAACAACGTAAAATATATTTAATATTTTAGGGACAAAAATAATGTAATTGAAATATTAGTGATTAAAATGAGATAAACTTCAAACTTTAAGAACCTCTAATGCAATTAATCCAAAATCTAAAACTATTTAAAATTTGTATTTAAGATATTTATGCTCTCCCTACACTCTTGTCAAAAGTATGATAAAATATAATTCTATTCAAAGATATAAAATTTAATTTATATAATTAATTATTTGATAAATTAATTTTATTCATTTATTTATTTGAATTAAATTTATTTATTTTATTAAAAATAATAATTATATTATATGGAGTAAACACATGTAAAAAATTGACATTATTAAATGACTCACATTAAATAAAAAAATCATATTATGCCACTATTTATTTATTCGATAAAAATTTTCAGCTCCGTCGTCGAGTGTGATTATTCATATCATATCAAATGAAGGTAAATTATAAATCACCCAAAATTAATTACCTATTTGACTTCTAATTATATTACTCATGTCAATTAAGTCCTAAATTATATTTTGTCTCAATTTATCCTCTGATTTATGTTATCTGATTCACTTTGGCACTTTCGTCTAAATTCATTGTTAATTTTGATGAAAATTCTCACGTGCGTATCACGCAACCCTTGACCTATACTATAATCTCTAACTCACGTGATATGAGAATTTTCGTCAAAGTTAATAACAAATTTAGACAAAATGATCGCACTGAGTTAGATTACGTAGTTCAAGAATTAAATTGACACAAAACATAATTTAGTAACTTAACTGACATAAATTGTATAATTCAGGGGGTAAAATAGATAATTAACTCTAAAATAAAATTGATGCTAAAATAAAATTCGTGTCAAAAAATTTAATGTTCCGTTTGGTATGATAGAAAAATAAAATAATAAAAAGTTAGAAGTGTGAAAAGTTAGAGGGATAAGATAAAACATTATATTTGGTAAAGAAAAAAAATAAAAATGATAGAAAAGTGGATGGAAGAATTTTCCTTCCAACTCAACAAAATCAATCCCTCAAAAAATTAGAAAGAAAGTTGATGTAAAACTAATTATTTATGTTAAAATATATTTTATTTGTCTATGTATCTTTTAATATATACATATATTATGTATACATTAATTCATGTATAAATATAATGATAAAATATGTATTTATATTTTAAAAAAAATTTAAAATTTTTAAAAATGAAAAAAATATTTTTTTCATCTTACCAAACACAAAAAAAATATATATATATTATTTTTATTTTTCATCCATCATATCAATCACAAAAAAAAAATGTATAATTTTTTTTTTTTATTTTAATAAAAATTATATCATTCATACTTTTGATCATTCTTACTAATCGGAGCATAAAGTGTTCAAACTATCAAAGGCCATTTATTTCGACAAAAGACCCACGTGCAATTTCCTTAGTTTGTAGTCTTTTATTCTTATCTCAATCATGATTTTTTTTTAGATGGAAGAGAAATGCCCTTTCCTTTTGGGTCAATTGCGAGGGAGGAGGGATGTAAAGCCCGACACCGTGATTCATAGTCACATGAGCCAGGGCTCCACCCTATCTCCATCGAATCTATTGTCGGCGTTGTTGGATGACCAAAATAAGGAGAGTAATGCTACAAAAAACACAATGATTGAATGCTAGAGAACAAATTAATGCAATAGTTAAGAGGATAAATTATAACATATTAAAAT